CACTGGAAAGGTGCCTGCAAAGCGCCGAGACAGCGCCGGCGAACCGCAGCGACTCCTGAGCAGTAGAAGAGAGGAGGAGGGAAAGGAGGAGAGGGCAGAGGATCCGCACTCACAGGTGAGAGGCAACGTTAGGGGGGACCAGCTCAGGGGGGGAAACCATAAGCTTGGATCGGCGATACGTCGCCCCGATATATCGGCGATAGGCCCCCGATGGCAAACCGCACGGTCGTCGGCGGTGTGGGCTATCAGGCCCCTATCGACAATCAAAGGACGATTAAGGGTCGATGCATCATGCATCCCACCCTAAGCCTATCCCCCCTAACGTTGCTTGCCACCCTACAAACGAAGTCTCCAGTAAACGCACCTGAGGACGGGGTCGGACAGGACCGGACTGCTCAGTGAACGCCAAGGACGGTTCACTAAGCGCCACAAGCATTGAGGCGGGGGTGTCTTATCCTCCCTTGAAACAGAGGAAAGGACATGGGGAAGGAACGAGGAACGACAGACAGCCCACGAGAGCGTACTCTTTCGGGGTTCTGCCTTTGGCACTCGCACACTTTGCCCTCACGGGAAGAGCTCACAAGAAAAGCGCAGGAGGGATTACGTATCCGTTTCACCATATCCCCGAAGTGGGATTATCGTCATTCGTGTGACATCCCCATCTCCCGTATTCACCTAGCAACTCTCCGTTTTCCCGCCTGCAGACACACTCATACTCAGACGCACTCGTACGCATATTCATCATACTCAGACTCTTCCAAACTCAGACCCATTCACGCCCAGGCTGACTCAAACGCAGACTCATGCTCATACTCAGGCCACTCACTCATAACTAGGCGCTCAGATCCATACCAAGATTCACTCGTAGCCAAACCTACTGACACTCGGCTCCTCGCTTGGTCAGGCCCGCTTACACTCAGACCCTCTCATGCCCAGACACATTCACACTCAACCTCCGTCGCGCAAAAATCAGTCACAGCCACTCTCACCCATACCCAGACCCCGCTTGGACCCAGGAGACGAGCCCCCCAACGGGGCACCGCCAGCGGGTAGGCACCAGCCCCGCTGACGCACAAGCTGCAGGAACCTGCCAGGCAGAAACGCCTGCCGTGGCTCAATAATCGGATACCTCTTCCGGAGCCCCGTGATTACCGCGACGTGCCAGGAATCGCAGCTGGCCCTCCCGATAGACAAGCCGCCGAGGCGTGCATCAGAGACTGGTCGCGCCCAGATTGCGGAGACGTCTCGAGCAGACCGCCCGCTTGGACCCAGTAGACGAATGTCTTTTCGCAGTCACATGACCACCACGATGAAGCAGGAGCCGCACTTGGGCCTCCAAAAGGGGGAGCCGCCATGGGGGGAGAGAACGAGGAGGGAGGACGGTGAGTCCCAGGAACGAGCACGGGGAATGCATGTCGCAAGAACGATGGGCACAGGAAGTGAGGACGAGGGGTGCGAGGACCGAAGACGAAGGGAGCAATGAGTGAGGACGAGGGGCACGAGGAGTCTGGACGAGATGCACGAGGAGTCAGGACAATGAGCACGATAAGTGAGGACGGTGAGTGCGATGAGTACGCGGAGCGAGGGTGAAGGGTACGAGGAGTGAGGTCAAGGGGCGCAAAAAGACGTGGTGAGTGCGAGAAGGCATGACGAGGACTACACGAAGGAAGAACGAGGACGAGGACGAGGACGCGTTAGTACACTGCTGCATATGTTGCGAAATCGTACTGTAAGATATGTTAGCCCACGTGGACCCCAAACGACAATTAATGCCTTGCAATGCGGTGCAATCTAAGTGGTGCAATCAATCACTTGCTCAACTTGAAGCTGTCCTCCCCACCGCTCGTGCAAGTATCCCACCCTCCCACCCGCAACTTGGTCGCACGCCCTCTTAAGACCGTGAAGGCAGGTACCAAATGGCACTTGGCAACGACACCGACGCCGACGACGGCAGCGACAACGAAGACGACGACGCCGCCGCCCACAACGACTACGATGACACCGACGGCGTCTCCAACGACTTCGACGACGACGACGAAGACGACGACGACGACGACGACACCGACGACGACGACGACGACGCCGACGCCGACGACGACGACGACGATGACAACGCAGACGACGACGACGCCGACGACGACGACGACGCCGACGACGACGACGACGCCGACGACGACAACGAAGACGACGACGACGACGCCGACGACGACGACGACGACGAGGAAGGAGGGAGGACGACGACGGCGACGACGCGAACGACGAAGAAGGGAGGACGGCGACGCCGACGACGACAACGACGAGGGAGGAGGGAAGACGACGACGACGACGACGACGACGACGACGACGACGGGGACGAAATAGGAGGGACGACGACGAGACGCCGACGACGGACGACGACGACGAGGGAGGAAGAAGGACGACCACGGCGACAACGACGACGGAAACGACGACGACGCCAAAGAGGACGACGACGACGACGAGGAAAGGCAGAGGACGACGACGACGACGAGGGAGGAGGGACGGCGACGACGACGACGACGCAAGAGCGCGTGCACACGTCTTTGTTGAAAATACGTGTTGTGAAATCCTGCGTTTTTGAATGTTGTTTGGACGCTCGGTTGTGAAATCCTTCAGCGTAGGTGGTGTCGTGTTCCCGTTGCGCTCTCTCCAATAGGCTTCCTCCTCTGTTATTCGTCCCCCCTCTTGGCCGACCTCTCGCAGTTATGGGGCTCACCACTGTTACGTCGCAGAAGAGTGGAAGCCCTCTCGCCGCGTTCGTGCAGGTGACAACAATATCTAGTCGGCGCATGTCCCTCGGAGGCACTGGTATGTTGGTAATGTGTAGGTAACGTTCGATGTTACGGTCAGGTACCTGGCCCCCAACTTCCCTGAAAATTTGCCTCCATGCCGCCATCAATTCACTGTGGCGGCCTTGCCATCCCCCGCCTGTCCCGTTAGCCAGGCGTCCGTGGCCATGTACGTCCGACCCGTCAAGAACGCAAGCAATCCCCAGTCGACGGCGCACCGCACATACAAACTAAGAGTCGGTAATTTTGAGCATATCCGTAGTCGGGCAAACCAGTAACCAACCAGAAGAAAATCGTTAACCGAAGGTTTTTGCAGGATTTCGGCATGCGCGCGTGACGACGGGCGCGTGCACTTCGTCCCATGTTTTGCAAAGGATTCTCGCGACGGCACGCGCGCAAGGGCGTTCGAACGATTTCGACATGCGCGCGCGCGCGAAGCCCGTTTGGTAATATTTCACGGAAATAATAAAAAAAATGTTTTCTTAAGATTTCGCAAGAGCGCGCGCGTAAGCTTTGATAGAAAATCCGTGTTACGAAGCCCTGTGTTTTTACCTAACAGCGAAGACTGATAGGTTTCTAGTTGACTCAAAAGAGCTCACAGATCACTCCACAGGGGGGTCCGGGCAGGTGTTGGGGCGTTTCCGGGCGGCATGAGCCGGGCTCGTTTTTCACCAACAGTCACACACTTCGTGCTCTTCGCCTTCCCAGACACTCCATTCGTGCTCTTCGACATCCCAGAACGCCATTCCCGGGCCACATTCTGGGGGGCCGGATGCAACAGTCACACACTTCGTGCTCTTCGAGTTCCCAGAACGCCATTCCCGGGCCACATTCTGGGGGGCCGGATGCAACAGTCACACACTTCGTGCTCTTCGAGTTCCCAGAACTCCATTCCCGGGCCACATTTTGGATGCCCGGAGCCAACTGTAGGCCACTTCGTGCTCTTCGAGTTCCCAGAACTCCATTCCCGGGCCACATTTTGAATGCCCGGAGCCAACTGTAGGCCACTTCGTGCTCTTCGAGTTCCCAGAACTCCATTCCCGGGCCACATGAATCTTCGTGGAGCTACCAGGAGGAGGAGGGGAGGGGGAGGACTACCAGGAGGAGGAGGAGGAGGAGGAGGAGGAGGAGGAGGAGGAGGAGGAAGAGGAGGAGGAGGACGAGGAGGAGGAGGAGGAGGAGGAGGAGGACATTGCCGGGCAACATTTTGAATAGCCAGACGCTTCATATTCCTTCCGCCACAGCTGTGTTTGGTTCAGGACTTGCTAGTGACACTGCAGTCCTCTGCATTCAATTGGCCACTACATTCATTCACTGCAGTCCACTGAGTTTTGATTGCAATGGCGTTCCCCTGGCCGTACCCCCATGTCCAACGTTCATCCGCAGCCTCTGCTCCGCGAGGCTCGTCCGAAGTGTCGCCGCCTCGCGGTGCTTCTCAGCCTGCGCCGCCTCGCGGTGCTTCTCAGCCTGCGGAGGAAGGTGGACAGACGCCTGGTTCTGGCGCTGTGCAGCCTGCGTCTTTCACGGTCGCCTCGTTCAATTTCGGGTTCGAGCAGGGCATGATGACTGGTAAGCAGGCGGCCACTCACTGCGCTAACTTCGGAAGGTTGTGCGCCAAGATAGTGGAGACCGCTGATGCTGATATGGTCTGTGGCTGCGAGGTCGGTGCGTTCCGTGAAGGCTTTCGCCGAGCAGGGATCAACGTGACAGACATCCTCAGTAAGCCTTTCGGTGATGGCATTCGCTTCTTGGAGGTCGACAACTACTTGACTCTCTGGGGGTTCCGCGGTGCTTCTCAGCCTGCGGAACTGACTCTGTGCGAAGACAGCAAAGTTTACAGGCCTCCTAGCGGCCGAGATATTGATGCTGTTATTTCACATTTTGAGGTGAACAAACCAGGCCATGACAAGTTCCACGTGGTGATCGCCAACATGCACATCGTGTGCGGCAAGAAACCGCCGAGCATCCAGACTCGAAAGCGGACAGTTCGCCATCTCCGCTTGCACCTGGACGGCCTGGCCAAGATTCTTGAGAATCTAAACGAGGCAGTCGTTGTGCTTGTAGTCGGCGACGACAACCTCACTTTCCAGGAGGCGCGGGAGGCTTACCAGCGCGAGCAGAACGACGAGAAGGTATGGGAGGTCCATGCCACTCCGGCCGACCTCAAAGGCGACCACGTCGCGGTCTGCGGAGCAGTCGCCCGTTTCTGCTCCATTGCCGTTGGCGCGTCTTTTACGGATCGTGGCATGCGCAACGACGCACACGATGCGGTGGCGGTTGTGCTCACTCTCCCTGGTG